CTCCTCCGCTCTCCCCCGGTGGCCAGAGCGCCGGGGGGAAGGCGGAGAGCCCCCGGCGGCCAGAGAGTTGGGGGGAGGGCGGCGAGCCCGCCGCGGCTCTCCGCTCTCCCTGACCGGCCGGAGCGCCAGGGGGAGGGCAGCGAGCCCAGTCACGGCCCCGCTCTCGGGCCAGAGGGCCCCGCCGCACCGCCCCACTCCAGGCGCCGCTCCAAGCACATGCTTGGTGGGCTGGTGCCTGGAGCCGGCCCTGGGCACTGGTGCACCTCAGTCGCTCCTATTCTCTGCCTGCAGCACATCGTCTCCTGTGGGTTGTAATACTTCACTCTAATGTGGGGCTGGTCCTGGATGGCGTGGGCCTGTGATATACACAGGGTCAGACTAAGTGATCTGGTGGGCCCTTGAAATCTTGAGTATAGCTGTGCTGAGCCTGTCATTGGGCAAGGATAGAATTTCACCACTTCATTTATAAGAGAGAGAAAAAAAGATAGGCCTGTGGCCGCTTGTTTAAATACTTCTAGGACAACCCTTACCATATGAGCACGTGCTGCCTTTCCCACAGGGTGAGGCAACAGGCTTTGACCCAAGACCTTCTGATCCCCAGTAGCCATCTCTACTGCCTGCACTACAGGAACAACTGATAGCAATGTAGGCTGTTATCCTTGTGGACCAGGCACTCTGTGAGGGGTTCAGTATGGCACAGACTTTGCCCCAGTTTACACACCTATCTGCTAGAAAGTATTAGAATTGTAGGAGTAAGGCTGCCTTGGTTCGATACGGTGCATTGGGAGGAGAGCATGCTAATGGTTAGGTTGAGCCAAGCCTTACAGGCAGTGTGACTGAGAGGTTGCAGGCACTGCACTACCAAAGAGCTAGGGTCTGTTCCCAACTTTGCCAGCCGAGACTTTATTTGTAAAACAGAGGACGTACCATTCTCCTGCCTCAGGGGAGGGAAGGACGAGATACCTCGCTCGCTAATAAGAGTTGTGAAGTGCAACAGCTAGTGAGAGCCAAGAGGTGAAACCAGGGTGTCCTGGCTCCCAGGATAACATACTTGTCCCAAGGCTGCAGTGTATTTTGTGGCTTTGTCAGTCAAATTCAGCAGCTTAAAGAGTTGAGATGTTGGCAGTCATACAACTGCAGCAGGCGGGACATAAGAATTTAGGGACCATCCTGCTTCACCAGTAACAGACTTGACTCTAGCCCATCTAAGAGGGGAAAGTGAGGGCATGTTTGTAAAGTTCACATGATTTTTTTCCCTCTGCTTCTCCCCTTCCCCTCCCTTTCTGACTGCCATTTGTCTGCAGCCAATCCTATGTATGCAGCAAGAAATTACAAATAAAGGATTCAGTTTCATCTATAGATGCCATGTGTTTATTACCCACTCACAAAGAGTATTACAGCATTTATCTGCCACAATACAGAATAAATAAAGCCACAAAAATAAAAACACATGGTTAAGTATCTGTTTCATTGAAGCTACAAAGTGTGTTGTATCTACAAAAAAAAAATGACACGACTATTTATGGCTCAGTGATTATCAAGGAGCAGTGAACTTGGAAGAGATGAGTGCGACACCCCTAAATTTAGATCAACAGTTCTCAACCTGTGGCCCAATTAGCACACAGCTGCAGCCCAACTGTGTGCTAAAAAAAAATTCAAAATGTGCCGTCTGGTCGGGCGGGGGCAGGGCTGGCTGAGGGGAAGACTGCGTCATGCAGACTGCTGGAGTGCTCCTGCCAGCAGGGGGCAGGTGAGTGCCTCAGGGGGACAGGGTGGGAGAGTGGGTCTGTGAGTAGGTTTGTGGAGGGGGCTCTGGGCAGTGAGGGGATGGGGGGCACTGGGAACTAGGGATTTGCCAGGGTGCTGCAGCACCCCCAGGTTTCAGGTGGGGCTCTGCTCTTAGCCCCCCTTCTTGGGTCCTGGCTGCCAGCCCGCACCGGGTGCTCAGCTCCTGGTCCAGTACCAGGGCTTCCAGCTGCCCGGCCCCATGCCGCGGCACTCGGATCCCAGCTGCTATGCAGCCCCACATGGCAGGGTCTGGGTCCAGCTGCTGCCCAACCCACACCCAGGGATCGGCTCCTGGCCCACGCTGGGCATAGGGGACTGTGGGCGGCTGGGGGGGGGGGACTGTGGTTCTCAACTTGCA